ACAAGTGAAGCCGATCCTTTGACCAAATGTGTGCTAAACAGTTGCGGTATCTCTCCTGTCCTGGGCCATTCACCTATCCTATGTCATCGTATCACGCCTTCGCTATGATACTTTTTACTTGCTTATTTAAATGTGATATGGTGTGCCCTTTTGAGCGGCCTTCATGATAACTCTCCATACTCAGCGCTGGCTTTCTCAGCCCCCTTCATCCTTGTGATGGGAATGTTCATCAGTATGCCCTATTGTTCGCCTTCCTTCTTCCCTAGGTCCACATTGAACCTAATCAAGGCAAGTAGTACGACAACATTTGGGGGTTGGCACACAAGAGACTAGGGCATAGGAAATCTTAGACTTGGTATTAGGGATAGAAACAGGATAGTTGCTGCGGTGACTAGAGCTAGTTGGCTAACCCTAGACCTGTTTTACAATGGTCGTGTTCCATGAAACAAAGGCTTGGCCATGAGAATTACGCAGGGGCTTTAACCTCGAGTTAGTCTCACAGAAACAGAGTGTGGGAAATAACGCCTCGAGTAGCACAGCTGGAATGGCAGGGGCCGAGCGAAATATTTGGACTATGGAGAGAGCAGACGGATCATACGGGGTAAGAGGGAGACTCTGATAAGACCTAAGGAAGGAGGACTGCGTAATAATATGGCAGACTCTGATCAACATTCTTTGCACAAGGATGAAAGCGGGTGAGGGGATGAGAAAGCCAACGTGAAGTGTCGAGAATTTTCATGAAATCCGCTCGAAAGAGCAGACCATACCACATTTAAATAAGCAAGTAAAAAATTGTGATAGTGAAGGCGTGATACGAGGATATAGGATTGGTGATTGGCCCATGGTGGAAGGAAAGATACCATGATTGTTTAGCATACAATTCAACACTAAGAGTGATTGGATGAGATTATTGGGAAGAAGAGGTAGGAACAGGCGAACTCGTATGACCCTCTAGTCATTTTATATACAATAAAGGATACTCTGGAGGAGAGGACAAAATAGATGGAATCTCGCCATAGGTAGTATCTTCCTAATTTTATGTCTGCATAAGTCCAAACTGGGCTCTATACATGACTATTACAAACATATGCCTTCACATAACTACAACATAAACAGTTTTAATAGCACATGAAGACCAAGAGGATGCCGTCTCTATTTTGGCCTCTATCTCCTTTCGCCCTATATATCTAGTTTGAGTTCGTTTTGGTAACATGGTTGTGCTGTCAGGACGACTCAAATGAACACATCTCGTCCGAAGTCTCCTGCCATAGTCGTTATGATAGATTCCAGCGTTGGAGCGTGTGCTTAGTACTTTCCAGTCATTTCACCTGCATCGTCAATCTTATAGTTAAGCTATAACCCATCAGAGACAAGTGGATTGTAGTGCAAACTAGAATATGTGAATCTACCGATGTAATTAAATTCTGTATTTACAAAAAATACTTCCGTAAGTTTAGCTACTATAAAAGGATATTTAAAGGATAACCGATCGTAGAAAATTTGCTTACAATGATGATGCGATTTTTAATAATTTTGTGGAAACCCACTTCGCTATGGATTTTACTTTTCTCTGACAAGTTGTAACTTGGTGCTAAGATTGTCAAGAAATGCTGACAACTCTGACCAAGCTGCAGGCAAAATATCTGGGAATCTACCAATCCCACGGTCTGACACTGGAAATTATCAGGGATACAACGGCAGAATACCTTGAACAAGGTGCGTTCATCTGGGTCACCCTAACCTTACTCAAAATTTGCAAGAATCGTGATCGAAACCCTTCTAAATTATGAAATATTTCCATGTTAATGAGTATAGGCAAAGTTGATGAGAAACGGTCATTTTTATTTCTTCTGGAAATGACATCAGATATCTTTAAGAAGTTTGACCTGGGGATTAAAAACGAAAAATCTCCGAGTTGGCATGAGCTACCATAATGACTATTCGTCTCTCACTATTCCAAACTAATCTTTTTAAATACGAAGAAAAACTGGGTTTCGATGAATCTCCTGAGATAACATTGTTAGAAGGACCTTCATTTCGTAT